TTTATTTTTCTTGAGTCATCGAAACACATGATTGAAGGCCGATAATTACGACGGTCAACGGAAAGGCTCAAAAAAAATTACTTATTTCGTTGCCAGCCGATAATGAATACCTAGCAGAATGTTGGTGTGAAAAAAAGAAAAAAAGATACCGAAGGCTATGTGTGTACATGCAAACCTTTCAACGTGGCGAGCATTCACTACCATCTTTCCGAACAAAACAGAATGAGTGCAACTGATCGCATCTCTAATTACTCTCTGATACATTGGTTCGAATTAGGTACTCGAAAAACAACAGAACAACCGACGAAAGAAACCGAAATCGATACAACAAAACGCTGGACAACAACTGAAACACCAGCAAAACGTGAATATGATGATGATAATAACTTACCTTCTGAAGATGATAAAAAGTAAAGATGAATCTTTTCTTTTTTACTCCTTTTAATTCATAGCTAGCCCTTTTTACAGATAGCCCTTTAATTTATCTTAAGTCCTAATGCACAACTAATTCTTTTATGTTAAACAAAAATATATAACTGCTTATTCTACATAAGTTCTCTTATATATAACTTAACTTTCAGAAATGGAAACAAAACAATGTTATTAATACATTATCTTTAGTCCATCTGAATTTTTACGGTCCCTCCGCATTTTATGGTTAATTGTGGATTTGTTAACTCCCCTTTTTCATGAGTGTCAAGTAAACTTTTTAATTTTTCATAAATTTCATTGTAAATTTTTTTACGCTCACGAGTTTGAACTTCAGATTCATCTACGTGATGGTACTGACTGAAAGACATGTTCTTGACGTAACAGATCAATAAATTCATAAATGTGTGGATGAACAGGAAATACACTTTCTACTGTCTGCTTTACACACGTTTCCATACATATTTTTATTTATTATTTATTGTAAGCTGACCACCATAGACGAAAGTCTTGTTATTTTGAAGAATATAAAGAGAACTTATGAACTTATGAACAGTGTTTAAAAAATGGAACGACTTGAGAGAGAGCAGTTAGGGACGAATCGAGAGGACACGAGAACATTTAACTACTGAAAGACCACATAGCTGCTCAATGAGTCTCAGATTGAAAGACGGTGCTATGACTTGCTAATTTCCGTAATCAATTATATTGTTCAAGAAAAAAGATACCTTTTTCCGACATTAGTTGTGTTATTTTATAACTAATTAAAAATTATTAGGAAAATTGGGATCATTTGTGCATTTTTCGGCGAAAATTAGTAAACGGGAACAGTTGTGCTTAATTTCCGAAATCAAAACTGTATTTATCCTTTTCTTTAATTTAAATTTTCTTTAATTGATTTGGTGATCAAAAGTGTTATTCTTTGGTGATTATTTCGATAGAAAGCAATTTTGTGATCAAAAAAATACATACCCATTTAGCAATCTGTCTATTTTTTAACACTTTCTGATTATCTCTCTACTCATCTCTGTTCATTTTTGTGTAGAGTGGTGTGGGGCGGATCAAGAATAATTTCGCGATCATGCCAGTATTTGTTGAATACCTTTTTTAATCTTAGAGATCTTTTTACGTGCGTTGGCAGTCATATAGACAAGACTCTCACTGATATACTTGTGAAAAATCGGCTTAAAATACTTCAAAGTATCGGACTTCCAGGGTTTTTACTGGTTCGCCCCACAGCTTTTCTTGATTCGCCCCGCTTGGGTCGATTCAAGAAAACATAGCTCTGAGTGGGGTGAATCAAGAACACTCGTTAAAATAAACCGTATTTTTTAACTTTTGTAAAATCCAATTATCTTAGGAATAATTAGTACTAATTGAGTAGATTTTCACACCACTGGACTCCTGATCGTCTCAGGAACACATTGAAAGCAAACTCCGAATTGTTCGATGAGAACTGACTGAGATCCGTTTGATGGTTTAAACTAGAGTAATAAAATAATATTCTTGATTCGCCCCGGGCGAACTTGGGGCGAATCAAGAATATGATTGTATCAATGAGAGTCTTGTCTATATGACTGCCAACGCACGTAAAAAGATCTCTAAGATTAAAAAAGGTATTCAACAAATACTGGCATGATCGCGAAATTATTCTTGATTCGCCCCACACCACTCTAGATTTCATATTCTGCAGTAGAAAAATCGCAAAAAAAAGATTTTGACCATTAATGTTTTCAATTCGAAAACACAAATTTATCTTCACAGTGGTTTATAGACACATTCAAACTTTAAAAAGACGACTAGAATATGATTTGTGATTTGTATGAATATTCACAATGGCCTTCTGTCTGAAATAAAACGTTTTCATGCATTTTAGGTAAATTCTTTAATATTCTGCGTTAACTGAGCCACTATAAATCCACTTCTCATACCACCTTCGAAACAAAACAATGACTGTTTTAAGCAATAATTATAGGCATCGGAATCAGAAGACTCTTTAGGCGTGAGTTTTCTGTAACTTTAGATTCGAAACATTCGAAAATGCACAAAGTTTGGTCATGCTCTTGATTTACTTATTTTTTTTCTCCAAACTATTTTCTAGAAGAAAAGATAATCAGATTACATATGTGATGAAGGAGGGATTATATATGATATATCTATCCTATCTTTTAACATTTCGAATATCTCTACAATGAACTCTACAATCAAATTCAGCATGTGGAAATCAATGGAAATATCAGCTATGAAACATCGTCCAGGTCTAAAAATAGGAATACTCAATCTAAGAAAAAATGATTCCTCAAGATATCAAATTTTTAAAGAAAATTAAGATATATAAAATCGACGATGTGAGCACAATGTCACTCGCAGATAACTTTGGAAATGTGCATTCAAACAGGAAAGGTATATGTATATATATGAAAATCAATTTAAAACTGTCAAAAAAGATTGTAAAATTTTGATAGCACAAAATGCAAAATAACGCTCCAGTTCTTTTTTTCACCATTACCCGAAAATCGACAGTTTTTTAAATGTTCTCGAAAATCTGTCACTAATTGTTGTTCATCCCCCCTCAGAAAAACACTTTTTTGTCTTACATCTGATTTTGATGACGCTTTCAGCAAATATTTCCCATATCAAAGTGTGGTTATGAAATTTTTTTCTCTCCCTATCTCTTACCATTCCGGGGTTGTCCAAAGTGAAAAAACTGCCCTCCACTGTGGGACACTTTTTTATATATACTTCAAGCTAGAGATCTTGGATTGGTTTTATTTTAAACTAGATACCTAACTGCGTGAGCTGATGGGATAAGATTTTGGATTTAGGTCTTTGTTCATTTTCTAGAGGTCCAAGATCCTCAAAACCCCAGATCCCATCCGGAGATCCTTGATTTTCTAGTAAACTAAGGCCTAATTCAAAAATCGACTCCTATCAGCCCATGCAGTTAGGTGTCTAGTTTAAAATAAAACCAACCCAAGATCTCTAGCTTGAAGTATATTTAAAAAAAGTGTCTCACACCGGGCATGTTCGAACAAAAAACATGTTTTGGGTGAAAACGCTGTGCATTGGTTGGTCTATTTTAGGACATGTAGAAAAATGCTTGTTAGTTTTGAACGCAAGATCACACAGAGTTGTGCAACGTCTTATTTTGATCAGAAAAGTCTCTCGACAAATCTACGTATTTAGAAAAAAATTTACTTGCGTAAGTGTCCAGAAAAAAATTATTATTTGAAGACCCTGGTTTTCAAGGCTTCTAGAAAACTTCCTCGAAAATCACGAAAAACCAGTTCTAGACCCGACAGCGGTACAGATTCCGAAAGTAGACACTCCAGGCTATCTTTCCATATGCTTGTCTCCAAATTGATTTTTTTTATACAAAATCATTATTTTTGAGTGGGAGGGGGTCCTTAATACGACTTAAAGTAAGCTAATAGATTCAGAATTAAATAATCTTGAATATTAAGTAAATGAAATTAATCAAGAAATCAAAAACAATAAAAATTAATAGATGCTCTTGTATAACTCTTGTAGATTCGAACCATCTTTGTTCTGAGCCTGTGCGATTATGCATAACCGAGAACGAGTGGCTAACTCCAAAAAGAAAATACATTATGGAAAGAAAGAAAGAAAGAAGAATTCTAGGCAACATCGAAGTAAAAAGCAATAAGTCTCCAGTCGACTCAACTATACGAGAAGACAAAGTCATGAAAAAAATGACATCTCCCGAAACATGCCGTTGTAAAAAATGTGCCATAGCCGAGAACATTCTAAACCATAAAACCTTTCACTTGCAGTCAATGGAATAAAATGAAACATACAATCGATCCAGCAATCAAAAACTGAAACAAAAAACTCCGCTACAAAAGTGTGTCTGAGTTCTTTTTATTGATAATAAAAAAAAAAAAAATCTAAACGGCAATACAAACGTTTATTTTTTTTTCTTCTACGACTAAATGAATCATTCATAGTATATACAACTGACTATGTCAGTAGAGTTTATATGAAAATAATAAACAAAAGGTGTTTTCTTTATAAAACACTTGGCTTGTATATATATGACATATGTCATAAAAAGAGATAAAATACTGCGTAGAAAAATATTGAGCTCGTGGAATAAATATACAAATAGAGCCCAACGAGAATACAACATTATCTATTAATAAAAATCATGATACGGTAGAAAATCATGTTTAAAACAATAAAAAAAAGAAGCACCAACTACATATTTAACTTTACTGTTTACATACATACAAGATGCGAGGAAAAACATCAGATCTATTTTTCGTTTATACAAAAAGATTGTCTGATTTAACACCTGAGACGCGACGATATAATAAGAAAAACAAAAAAAATAGTATATAAATGCTGTTTAGTTGATAAATATTGCTACATAAAACAGTTCGTTTTTCTTTCAAAGCAATCATTATAAACAAAAATTGTAGTAAAAAATAAATTAAATGAAACTGAAACATCAAGATACTCAAATAGTAGACTATAGAATCGACATAAACAGTATAACTATTAGAAACTGACTAGATAACTGTATAGTTATTAAAGTTTTTTCTTCTTGTTTATTGTTGATGTTTTGTTTTGTAAACTGTTCCTTTTCCAACTAATACTTGAACTTCTCCCGGTGTTTTACGACGTGTTTCAGGTAGAAATAAATAGGTCAATAAAAAGACACCTAAACAAATTCCACCATAAATAAGAAATAATATCGAATCAATGGCATTCTAAAATAAATTCATTTCATTATATTGATTTATATATGTCGACAATTATTTGTCTATTTTTACTTACAAACAACGGTATAAATGATTGAACAACAACGAAATGTGTTAACCAATTGGCAATAATAGCAAAACTCGAAGCATAGGCACGTTCAGATTGAAAAAACATTTCACTGGTTACGAGCCACGGTATAGCACCTAAAAGAAAATGATAAGAGAAATTTAGTTTAAATATCTTGTACAAACAACCATCATACCCGGTCCCAAGGCAAAAAAACCTGTATGTCCCATTATAGCAAATATATTCAAAAATATCATATGATATAAACGTATCTAGAAATAAAAAGAAAATACTGAATATTAAAAAAAGGATTTTGAACAATAATTAATCACATACGGTTCTGGACTTTAATATTGTTACACCAATAACCATGGCTGCAGTTCCCATACCAACAAGACCATCTAAAAAGAAATTTATTTTTATTTTAAAATGAAATATCTCATTAATAGAAATTCTTACATGAAAATAATGAACGTCGTCCAACTTTGTCCAAAATAAAAACAAGTGTAATTGCTACAGCCAAATAAGTAATACCAAAACTTAGACAAGCATATGGTGTAAACTCATACGGTAAATTAGTACGAGATAATATGACATCACCAAAATAAAATATCTACAAGCATAAACTATCATGTGGTTTTTTTTCTATAATAAATATCTTTTATCTAAGATCTCAAAGATTGATCATCATCAACTTTTCTTATTGACATAGTCACGTAATTCGGCTATTTAGAATCACAAAACAAAACTTTTCTGAATCGAATAAACTGTTTCTGGACTCTGTGTGACCTTTCATTTATGAAAATACAAAGAAGATACTACGAAACACTATTTTTTGAAGATAAAAATAAAATCAGAAAAAGATGTTTCCTATGATCTTTGTATTTTTCTGAGATGAAAGATCGCACAGAGCTCAGAAACATCTCATTTGATTTAAAAATATTTAAAAACCTACGAGAAGAATAAAATGTCAAAGTTTTATCATAAAATTTTTATTCCGCCGAGCAGATTTGCTTAATCGCACTCTTCCACAGCATGCGTTTTCAACTTACCAAAAATGTAAGAAAATTATGACATCTATGGAAAACCATTAGTTTATAAATGAGTTGCCTCAAATATCAAAATAGATTATAGAAATTATCCTCAACATTTAAATTCTACTATGTCTCAAAATAGAAAACAAAATTCATTAGCTGTATTTCTTTCTGGCTATCATTTAAACGATCAGTAGAATAAGTGAAATGACCAGTACTTACATGGTCAGTTATTGAGATAATTCGATATATTTAAAAATCAGTAAATTAAATTAAAGGGTCAGTATAAAAACTGAAATGTATTATAAGGTGATTCACTTTTTTTCTTCTTTGTTTCTTTTGGTCCATGTGTCGTACAGATGACAAGTACAACATATAGACATGTACTCTTTGCTCTTCTGTTCTTTCTTTCAAATTCAGCTTAATGTCAAGAAGTAAAAAGATGGATGTTATGATCTTTACCTTTGAAATGACATAATAACCTTAGATCTTGTAGAGTGCCTCGGGGTAATTCCGGTCAATGTCAGAAATCTTTTCAGTATTTTGCTCATAGCTAAGTCATTTTTAACCAGAAAAAAACGGTTTTGCACAGGTAGATAGATCTGACTCTTAGCTATCGA